CCAGAGTGGAAGTAGCTGTTGAATGAATGAGTAGAGGCAAGTCCTATATGACCCTGGTGGATGGGCACTTCCTTCCATTTCTCCTGGCAGGAATGGGTGAGCTGGTAGTGAGCTCCTTGCCTCATGTGCTGGTGTTGTGCATTCTTGCCGAGAACATCCAGGCAGGAAGCACTCTGGAATCTGTCATGGAGTGGACTGCATTCCCCTGTCTCAGGCTTGTAGAACCTTTGCTCCTCAGGCACAGACCACCGAGTCCATGACTACCCATGCAGCTTGCCTTCCTCTCCAGATGTGAACTCTAGCTGAGATGGGCAGCTGTGTCTGTCCTTTCATGCCTTGTCTGGGGTGCCCTGTCTGAGCACTTACATTCATCTGTGACTGCTCACTGATCTGATGAGTGACTGGGTGAAGCCAGGCCATCGAGGGGTGTGGTAAGTGGGTGTCCCATGTGACACTTCCTGGCTGTCTGCAGGCTTTCATCTGGTTCCATTTTTTTTAGAACATTACAGAACGTGAGTTCTTCCAAATAAAGAGTTCTTTCTTCACATTTGTAATGATGTCCACGTCTGCTGATGTTTCCTCTGGGACTTCTTTTAGATCCAGTTTTTATCTCTCATTTTCCTAAATATGGTATGGTGGCCCTCGGATGCTCTTGCACACTGCCGTGGGGTTCTGGGGCAGTGTCCTAGGGGAGCGGCCCTGGGGAGTGTGCATCTGTAGTTTTTGTCTGCCCAGTCACAAGCTCCTTTTATTTTTGCCAATAGCTCTACATGCATCTTCTCACCCCCACTTCCAATCCATGAAGTCTGGGCAGGGCTGACACCTCACGTGCTGTCAATCAGCATATACCTGTCCCCTGTCCAAAATGACTGAGTCAGGGAGGGCAGCACGGGCCCAAATGGAGCCAGTGAGAGTCAATGCCAGGGTTTTGGCTGGGCCCATGGAGAAGGAGCAGGCCTATTTCTGCAGGGACGGGGAAGGTGTCAGATGGCATCCTGAACCTGCTGGTCCTCATTGTGCTGTAAGGTGGGGAAATCCTGCTGAGGAAGGAGACACAGGGTGGGCAGCAGAGCCCAGCAATACCCTCAAACGTCATGTGAGCACCTGGACCCAGCTATGCCTGAAGCAAACTCACCTAAACCAGTGTTTCTTAGTGAACCCACTCTTGGCATTTGGGACAGGACAGGCTTTGCCATGTGGGACTATTGTACACATTGCAAGATGTCCCACATCCCCAGGTCCAGCAGAATGCCAAGTGTCCTCATGGAACACCAGCCCCATCATTTGCACATGTCTGATTGACTGCCCTTGGCTTTCAGTTGAGTCAAGAAGTCCTCTTTTGATTTATTCCAGTTGGTTTTTGGGGCATGTTCAAATGATAGGCCCCGGACAAACACACTGCTGCCACTTTCTTGGGTGTCTGAGATTTAACCCTTACCATGTGAAACACCAGCTGGCCCTGGTGAGGGATTGGGCCAAGCCCAGGATTTTCACTGAGGGAGGGGTCAAGGTCTGGAGCCACAAGGTGGGCAGCACAGGCTCCTATCATTGTGGGAAGATGGAGACCACTGCTTCTGTGCTGGAGGAGAGCACAAACAGGACAGTCAGCAGAACACAGCCAGCCTCAGATTCTGGGGCCACAGGTAGACCAGAAGCAGGGTTTCAACAGCTCACAGGCCCCAGATGTGTCCCATGTGGTCAGCTGAATGTGATCTTCTTTGAGAAGTGAAGGGAACCCCCTGGAAGGGTGACATGAAACAGAAGGGAGAAAAGAACTCCGACAGGTTGCTCAACCCTAGAAGGGTCCTGACTGATTCCAAGACGGTCCCTGGTCTGTGAGGCCCGGCCAGGGATGGGGCCGGCTCGGGAGGGCGACGCATCTCGAGCCTCAGCTGGAGTCTTGGGGCAGCACAGGCTTCATGGCGGTGGGCGGGCGCTGTGCTCTGCCTTGGCATTTAGGGCCTCAACACTGGCAAAGGCATTTAGACCTTCCTCCCTGCTCACGTTTTGCACAGGCCATTCTCCCCTAGGTAGAGCTCAGAGCCGACCACTCCTGGCCAGTCTCCACCTGCAGCCTCCAGCCCCCGAGACTGTGGGACTGGCATGGACTCCGCCCAGCCGTCAAGGCCTGCCCGAGCCTGTTCCTCTTCTCCCACTGCTCTGTGTGGGGCGACTGAGCACTGGGGCTGAACCACAGCTTGACCTGGCACGTGGCCTCATACCAAGCATTGGACTGTGGTGCCTCAGTTTCCCCATCTTTGGAACAATACGATAGCAGCCCCACCTTATTAGGTGGTTAGTGCTACCAGCAGAGCCCCTTGTCAGAACCATCATTTTAGTATTTCTGCTGCATTCAAGAAAAGCCAGAGATTGGAAGTCAGAAGTCCTGGCTCTGCCTCTGATTTAATTCAGAGCTAACAACAGAACTTGGAATCAAGTTTCTTTACCTGTAAAACAGGGATGATATGAACCACACTTTGGGGGCTGTTGTAAGGACCCAGTGACATAACATATGTGACAACTCTATGCAGATAAAACGCTGTGAATAGTCTCCCTTCCCTCCATCTGAGAAGCCCCCACCCAGTCCTGTCCCACCCTCTGCAAGGCCCCAGGGGAGGTCTCCAGGAGCGTGGCTCCCTCTCTCCAGGGTCCTCACAAGGTTGTTTAGGTGCCTCTCCAAGATTAAATGTCTCGTGCTATGGCCACCTGTGTGTTGTCTTTGTAGCTCTGCTGAGAGCTAGTGGTGCTCACTCTCCTGGCTCACCCTGCAGCTCCTGGCATAGGCCTGGCCATGGAGCCT